ATTTTACTTTTTATTTTTTTGTAGTCATGGGGCCTGTACTCTGGGCCTGGCTGTTGTTCCTCAGCTCTTCAGCTTAAAGCTAGCACTCTACCACTTGAGCCATAGTGCCACTTCTGGCTTTTCTGCTTATGTGGTGCTGAGGAATCGAACCCAGGGCAAGCACTGAGCCACCTTCCCAGCCCCAATTTTACCTTTTTGTTGCCTTACTCTCCTTTAAAATCTATGGGTTTTACAACTAATTGGGAAAAAATATTTACCAGCAATATATCAGACAAGGGGTTAACATCCTGTATATACAGGGAACTCAAGAAACTAATCCCTCCCAAACCTAACAAACCAATTACTAAATGGGCAAGGGAACTAAAGAGGGACTTCTCAAATGAAGAAATAAAAATGGCAAAGAAACACATGAGGAAATGTTCATCATCCCTGGTGGTGAAGGAAATGCAAATAAAGACAACCCTGAGATACCACCTTACCCCAGTCAGAATGTCCCACATCCACAAATCAGCCAACGACAAATGCTGGAGGGGATGTGGAGAAAGAGGAACCCTATTACACTGCTGGTGGGAATGTACACTTATACAACCACTTTGGAAAGCAGTCTGGAGGGTCCTTAGAAAGCTAAAGATTGACCTCCCTTACGACCCAGTCATACCACTTCTAGGCATCTACCCTGAACAACAGGAACCAATATACAAGGACACGTGCACCTCCATGTTTATTGCAGCACTGTTCGCAATAGCTAGGATATGGAAACAACCTAGGTGCCCCACCACAGATGAATGGATCCAAAAATTGTGGTATCTATACACAATGGAATATTATGCAGCCATTAGAAATGACAAAATAATGGCATTTGCAGGGAAATGGATGGAGCTAGAAGGAATCATGTTGAGCGAGGTAAGCCAAGAACGAAGAGACAAACGGTACATGGTCTCCCTCATAAGTGGATGCTAAATCCAAAAGGTTAGTGATACGACAAAACTAACAGGACTTAAGAAACAAAGAACTCCCGCTCATCTGGTTGAACCACTACTAAATATCCTCATGCTGCTGATCACAAATATGGTATATAACATGTGAACACTGTTATATATTACAGACTGTGGTAGACAATTTGCTCCAGGGAAGTTAGAATGAACTTGTGACTTTGAAATTATGTAATCATTTAATCACAATCAAAAAAAAAAAAAAAAAAAAGAACCTCGGGGAAGGGAGGGAGGGAGGGGATGGTAGGGGGAAAACAATGGAGGGGGTAACAATGTTCAAGAGGAAGTGTACTCATAACCTCACTCATGTAACTGTGACCCTCTGTATAGTAGCTTGACAATAAAAAAAAAAAAAAAAAAAATAAATAAAATCTATGGGTTTTAAAAGATAGGTTATTTAAAAATTCATTCATTTTTATTCCCTTGATTCCAAGTTGTTCCAAATTTGGTCCTCTCAGTCAACTTTCTTTGTCCCATTTGGGCATTGTCTTCTGACTCATTAAAATGTTCCAAACTCACCTTGTATTTGATCTGCCCCAAACGTGGAACATTCCAAACATGCCTGTTTCTGAGGTATTTAGGAATCAAGATTGGAGAACAAGGCATGCTAACAATTATTACTGGGTTATGGCTTCCACCAGAGCCAGTGGGTAGGCTGGGGTTGTTGGAAAGAGAAAATACACGCAGGCATACACATTTGCATATACTTTCTGTTGAAAAGCAAAAACACAGAATCACCTTTTATCTTCTTTCATCGTTTCCAAAATCTACCTTCTTTGATGTTTGTCTTTCATTTCAAAATAGCTCACTGGAGTAGAGGAGTGAATGGCACATGGCAGTGGTCACAGCGTAGTTAGGATGGGCAAATGTGTAATTTTTTTTCTATCTCTTTATGTAGATGTTTAAAATTTATAATAAAGGTAATTTTAAAATTTGTCAAGTCACAGTAAATGAAAACGTAGTCAGTTCCAACTCATGTAAATTGCAAATAAGATGTGGCACTCTGGCTTGTCTGAAAAAATATTCCAAAGGAACTCAGAATAATTTGGAGGGCTGAGCAACTCAAGGTCCTGGGGCTAGGCCATATATATAGCTAGATTGCCTTCTATCACCTTCTGTCCCTATAACTGAATAGCACAAATAGAATAATTTATAGCGTTAACATAGCCCATAGGCCATAAAGTCCGAGAGCATGGTACTAATTTCTGCTAGGATGTGGTGAGGACCTTATGCTACCATCACATAGCACAGGGCACCAAGCATTTGGATAGAGGGGACAGCTCAGGTCTCTGGTAAAGCTGCTAATGCCGCTATCCCCCATGGCCTCATTTGATTCTGATCGCCTAGTTAAGGGCTCTTCTCCAAATACCAGTAATATGGGCAGGGGCTTCAGTTCCTAACACATTTGGGGGGAGGTCACAACCAACCACTTATGAGAGCACTCTCAAATAATATCTTGCCAATTTTAGAAAAGGAGTGACTTCAATTCAGCTCTTATAACCTTGTCATTAAAAAAGATTCGATGGTTTGTTGTTGTGTGTGTGTGTGTTAACCAGCATCAATTAATCAGGAATTCGGTGCATTCATATAGCCTGAAATATGATGTTTCCAATGGTTCATAGTTCCCTTGGGATCATGGTTGACTTCTCAGGCCAAACATGGAAGCTCCTGGATTACAGTACGAAGTGGCACCTGCCACCACAGATCTGCTGTGTGTGAGGCAAAGAGGAGTGTTAGATAACTGAGCCCCAAATTTGCAAAACCCAATTATGTAAAAGACCAAGTGGAAACAGGAGCAGTTTCTGCCCTGTTGAGACAATGTTTGTATGTTTCTAAGGACAAAGGAAGGCTTCCCAGAGCGAGAGAAGCTCAACTTTGAAGAATCTCACATGTCACTTATTAAGGAGTAAAAATGCATTTAAAACCCACAGCACATACATCAATGTTCTGTCTAGTAAAGCTGTTTTCCCTCATTTGGTCAAGACCAGAAAGGACCTAAGAAAATAAAAGTCTACAGCTACAGAGAGAGTGGGCACCAGTGCCTGTGTATGAGAGCGGGAAGGGTTCTTGATCTCTGACCTTTCTTTACCAGAATTGGCAACATGACAGGAGGATTTTTCCTTTCAGCCACCAGGCTAGCCAAGTGCAGTGCAGCACAGATTTGTTCTAACACGTTCAAATCCCGCCTGTCCCCCCAACTGACTCGCCCCTCCAACCAAAAGTCTTCTCCACACAGGTATAGGGGATGTAAACCACTGCTATTAACCACTGCTACTAATGTGCACAGGGGGACCTATGTCTTAAGTGTTCGTGGTCTAAGATGAGAAATAACTTGCAGGTTTTGTGAAAAAACAAAAAACCATCTGAGTGAACTTGGAGGTGAATCGCATCGACCATCTTTTCATATTCTTATCTAAGAAGAAATTAGTGCTAGACAGTGCAGGAATTTCCATTTTTCTCTGGAGCACAAATGCTGTTTTAGAGAACAAATGTTCAGTGTCTTGGTATACCTTATTCAGTGAAGATATTTAAGTTAGATCTCTAGAAGCAGCTGTTGCTGCTCTGGCTTTTTTTCTTTTTTGTCTTTTCTTTTTTGGTACTGGGGATCGAACCCAGGACGTTGCACTTGCTAGGCAAGCGCTTTGCCACTGAGCTACATCCTAGCCCTGGCTTTTTTTCTTATCTTACCACATTGCCCCCATAATGACACAATCATTTCAGCCTGAGTACAGATGACTTTGTCTAGCCGAACCCAGGGCAAACCTAGATTGGCAGTGTGTAAGCTTCTCTCTCAAAGGACCAAATTTATTGTTGACTTCCCTTACCTCAAAAGAAAAGGTTAATTTCTATGCCAGCTTCAGAAGGATGTCAAGATTAAGATATAAGTCAGATAGGTTTCCAGATTACTGCATCAGAAATCCCAGATCATCCGTTAACAGGGTAAAGATAACAGCTTCACTAGGTGGTCCTAAGGTTGAAGTGCTGGAGTTGTTAAAATTCATTTTTTAATGAAGATTTCATAAGTGTCTCTGCTGTTCATATTTATATGAAGAACAATTAAGGGCAAATCATATCAGAACATATCAGTATAACTTGTCCCCATCTGAGGAAGTATTTAAGTTTCCAGAGGTTCTGGAAGTGTCCATCACTTTGGGTACAACACATCTTGCTGCCCATGGTCCTTTAGAATGGATGCCTAGATAAGGGGCAAGAGAAAAATCCGAGTCCAGCACCTGCTGAAAAACTCAAGAAGCCAATTCCAAAGAGAAAGCTATTCAGAAATGGTCATAGCCAATGGTTCTAGCCAGATTTGAAATTCTAGGAAGATCTGAGAGTCGCATTCTAACTCTGATATCCACATTCCATGTTGTTATACAGCACAGATGTGGACAGCTATGAGCAAAGCAGGCTCACTTTGTCCATCTTCTTTGGTCATTCCCAGGGAGTTCTAAATTTAAGATTAAATGAAGACCTAGCAGAAGCCTGGATTGTGGAGTGCGTTCCTTCAGATACCAATTTTACTATAAGATGGGTACAAATAAATCTACAAATGGAATTCTATGGAAAATATCTCTAATAGTTATAGAGATTTTTACATGATTTTATCATTGAAATATGTGGACCTGCTCTGAAACAGAGGAAACATCTAAAAGAAATGATGGCTTACATGCTCACAATATACTGTGGAAGAGAGTAGTATTAAGACTGATAAGCAATCAATTGTGTGCTTAGCCTATCCTAGCTACAGTATTTATCATTGTCTTTCCCCCTTACCTAATGACTCCACACATTTAGGACAAGGCCTAATATGCCATTCCCCTTGCCCAAGTGAATAACAGTCACATTCACTATACTCTACCTTCACTGGCCCCAACCTTCAATTTATAGAAAACCAGAAGTGCCTGGGTATTGAAATCAGTGCAAAGCTGACAAGAAGGCAAGAATCAAAGACAAATTCAGAGGCCTACCTCTGAAATTTAGCACACACATATGGGCATCTTGGCAATGTCATTTTTTTTGTCAGAGAATTTTATTTGCAACCAACTACGAGTACCCAAAGATCAAAGTAAAAAAAAAAAAAAAAAAAAAACAACCCACCAAAGCAAAACAAAAAAGGAACATAAACACCCAGCAATGTCTATATTCTTGCTCACTCTAATGGCCAAAGAGGAATTCTACTGAATGTGAAACCAAGGATAACTGCGCTAAGGAGGCTAAAGGGCCTTGCTAATGCTCCTCAGGCGGGAGTTGGCCTTCTTGAAGGGACCCATCTGTGACTTTCCCATTCTGATCTTAACTGACAAAGCATCCCTTTGCCTCGAGGAAAAGACTAGAAATAAATATTTATGCATAGTGTGTTACCTAGAAATACTTATCATTTCAGAAAGTCTTATTAAAAACTGATTTATTGGAAAAGTGTCAATTACTCAGGGATGATTTGTTAAACTACAAAATACCTTAACCTTCATCTCTACTTTTTACTTTCTCATCTCAGACACTTAACAACCTTGATTAAACCCTACTGGTTACTGGTTTGGTAAGGGAAGCTAACTCCTAAGGCTTATGACATGAGCACTTAGGCATCCTAAAGCCTTTTCTGGACCTGGCTAAGTTACCTGGCTACCTACACCAACTGTACCACATGGCCTAGCCCAGGGAAGATGCAATCAGGAAAGAGAGAGAGGGAGAAAAATAGATCAGCACCCAGAACACACTGCATGCCTGCCACTCCTTTGGCATCTATTCCTCGACAGAACTGCAAAGGACTTTATTTTTGGGCTTGTTTCACTTTTCCTTGATCCTCCACTTTCTTAATGGCTGCTTGGATGGCTTCTTGGTCACCCAGGAACTGGTGAGGCCTAACAGCATGCAGGTTCTCATCCAGCTCCAACAGAATCGGGACTCCAGTGGGAAGAGTGATTTTGATGATGTCTTCATCCGAGATACCTGTGGGTCAGAAGAGGAAGGGTCAGGGTGAGACACAATTTCAGGAGAAGGTTCTGTTTAATTGTTTAACTACCTGTTGACTTAGACCCATATTTTAACCTTGCTTCTAAGACTATGTCAGGTGTTGTGTAAGGTTCCAACTGTAACAGCTATGATTTCAGGATAGAGAAACTGGGAGAGAGGAAGAAAGGGAGGGAAGGGAAGGAGGAGGAGTATACTTAGATAGAAATTCACATCAACAGTACAGGCCTTCTGGGTAACCAGTTCTGGGGTATTTCCTTTCTAAAGCTGCTTTCAGCTTCTTCTCTATTCTGCTCATAAAATTAGGACTTTGTTAAGCTCTGAATCCAGCTCTTTTGACATGAAAGTGACTAAGTGTCCCAGCACTGAGCTTGGAACAGCCTGGGCTAGCCCAGTCCAGCAGGAATTCTACCCTAGGTGCCCAGATGCACAGCCTGGGGGAAGTAGAAAGGACTATGTAGCTTGTTGTGTAAACAGGCCTGGCTCTATTGTCTCTTAATACCCCAACTGCTAGCAGAGGAAGGTAAGTGTAAAGTACTTCTGTTAAGTACTTGTGAGATAGAGGTTAATTTTTCTTCTGAATAGAGGGTGTTTATGTGGTGTTTGTGTGTGTGTGTGTGTGCGTGCGCGCGCGCGCACGCACGCATACATATGTGACAGTGTGCTTGAACTCAGAGCCTGAGCACTGTCCCTAAGCTTTTGTGCTGAAAGCTACTGCTCTACCACTTTGAGCCACAGCTTTTTGGTAGTTACATGAAGAGTCTTGTGGACTTTCCTGCCTGGTCTGGCTTTGAACTGTCATCCTCAGATCTCAGACTCCACAGTAGCTAGGATTACCGGTATGAGCCACAGACATTACTACTTTTAGAGCTAAACTGCTAACATTCTGAGAACATACCAGGTATATTGCTAGCATTTTATATGTATTCATTCATTTCATCTTCATTGCCATCATAAAAGGATCATACAGAGCCTCGCTCCTGTGTAATGTAATTGCTCTCAAGTCTTGCTTGGAGTTCAAAATAGGCAAAAGTGAGGTATGAGAAGAGAGATGGAAAGGAGAGAGAGCAGGACGGTAAGGAGACAGGAAGAGAGGGAGGGAGAAGATAGTGTTGCAGATTAAAAGCACTCAAATTTCTGTTTTTTAAAAATATATAAAACTAATTGCTTAAACTTCTAAAGTCCATTCATAGTTTCTGCTCTATATTAATAGACTGAATCTAAGTAGTGCAAGTTCTGAGGAGAGTCCAAGGGTTTGTCTTTACTTATCTGTGGAAGAATTAGTAATTACCAGTTAGTTATCAGTATACTTTGTCATTTTAATTAGTTACTGGCCATAAGTACCAGCTAAGACCCCCACAGAGTTATTGTGGATTTTTCCTGTGCTGGAGGGCAGTAAGGATTTCATGTCTGGGACAGAAACTGTTCATACTCAATGGAAGGGATCCTAACTTTGGAAGGCTGTCTCTTCCAAGTATTCTGTCTCTATGATTTTGGGCAAGTAATCTCTCTGAGCCTTCGATCTCTGCCACACTCAGCATCTCTACCTGCTGTGGGATAGGAAAGGATGCCTTATATGAGAACACATGAAATGTGTGTGGCAGTTTCTTCTTTCCCTTCTAAGCAGGAGATTTACAGGGAGAGCTGCTGAGTCACTGCTTTGCCCTGCCAAACCCTGGCCTTAGTGTGATGACTACCAGGCCCTGGGATCACCGCCACATGCTCACACTGGCAAGAACAGACAGTCAGGCTTCACAGCACCTGGTGAGCAGGGACGATGGTGAATGCTCTAGATCCTAAGGGACCTCTGGCTCAGTCAAGTCAGAAAAGCCCGCTGGCAGCTGGCTGCAGCAGGTGCCCTGTGCCTCCCTTGGAGCGGGTGGGGGGAGTGGGGATGGGGTGATGCAGCAGCATGCAGTTTAGGGACCAGGTGACGTGGAGGCTTTAGAATCCAGCACTTGGCACACCTAAATCCAATAGGAAGTCCTGGAGATTGCCAGTAGGGGACATGTGTCCCTCCCATGACCATTCTTCCCTTTGGAAATTCTCTTCCAGCACCAACTTCCTTTATCTTGCTTTTTAAAAATAAATTATGAAGTGGCTGTACAAAGATTACAATTCCATATACCAAGTTATGAGTACACGATACATCTTGATCAATGTCACCTCCCATCATTCTCCCTCGTTTGCCTGTCCCTATATTCAAGTTACGTAACTCACCTGTACATAATGTACATTGAATACATTGCCTGCACTTGCTCAGCTTCTCTCCCTCCATTCCTGTGCCTCCCTACCCTTCCCCACAAAAACATGCTTCTGCGTCCGGGTATTCATTGTGTTAAACAGTTCATTAGATGTTCAGAAGAATTACATCTTTGGACTCCTCCCCTAAGTGTACAATCCTTTAATCAGTTTGTGTCTGTATGTATAAAACCTGTATATGTTAATCATATCTGTTTGCATTTTAGATCTAGCTTCCACAGATAAGAAAAATCATGTGCTGTTTATCTGAGTCTGAATAACTTCAATTAACATAATTTTTGTAGGTTCATCCATTTTCCTGCAAATGGCACATTACTCTTTCTAATAGATGAGTAAAATTCTATTGTACCACATTTTCTTGATCCACTCATCCACTGTAGGGCATCTGGGCTGTTTCCATGACTTGGCTATTGTGAATAGTGCAGCAATGAATTACTGATTGAGAAAAGCAGAGGTAGCTCAGAGGCCTGGAGTCATGGGGACATAGAAGACTTGTCTATTCTTCAAGATCCATGTTTGCAGTTCCCAGAGTTTGTAAACATGTTGCTCACTAGATTTTTTTTATAAATTCTTTCAATCTAAATGTTTACTGTAGAAATCAATTTGTTAGGCAATAAGTAAGAAAAATGATCATGCTTCACTAAAGTTTACCAGGAAAAGTAGAAAGTAAAAATTCACATCAACATTTTGGATTCATCATTTAGAGATTCTGTGCTAACTAATAAACCTTAGGACATGTTCTAGGAGACAGAGCTCTATTGTGATTAGCACTGCCCTTCTATTCAATATTGTATAGAAGTTCTAGGCAGGGCTAGGTGAGAAAATAAAATGAAAGGCACCCAGATTAGAAAGGAAGAGGTTTTTTAGTTCTCTTTTTAAAAAATCATACACCTGATTAAGGACTTATATCTAAAATATATGAACAAGTATTATACATCAAAAGTAAAGGGATGAATGTCACAAGATGTGAAGAAATGTTTCTCCAAACATAAATGAACAGTCAACAACCACCAGAAAAGCCTTCAGAGATATGCAAACTCAAACCACAAGGAGATACCCTCCTCCTTTTACCCACTAGAATGGCTACAATAAAAGTCAAATTATATACAAATTATAGACAGGAAACTAGAATCATTATGCATTGTAAAATGATGGGTGAAAAAGGTTGTAGGCTATTTGGAATAAAATCTAGAAATTTCTGGGCTGGGAAGGTGGCTCAGTGGTAGAGTGCTTGCCTTGCATGCATGAGGCCCTGGGTCGATTCCTCAGCACCACATAAGCAGAAAAAGCCAGAAGTGGTGTTGTGGCTCAAGTGGTAGAGTGCTAGCCTTGAGCTGAAGAGCTGAGGGACAGCGCCCAGGCCCAGAGTTCAGGCCCCACAACTGGCAAAAAAAAAAAAAAAAAAAAATCTAGAAATTTCTGACATGTGATCCAGCAATTCCACTCCTTGGCCTGTACCTAAAAGAAACAAAATATAAGTCCACATCAAAAGTTGTGCACAAGTTGAGCACGTGGCTCATGCCTGTAATCCTGGCTACTCAGGAGACTGAGATCTGAGAACTGCATTTTGAAGACAACCCCAGACAGAAAAGTTCATGAGACTCTTATCTCCAACAAAGTACTCAGGAAAAAACAAAAGTAGCACTGTGGCTCAAGTGGTAGAGCGCTAGACTTGAGTGCAAAGATGATCAGGGACAGTGCTAGACCCTGAGTTCAAGCCCCATATCCGGCAAAAAACCACCACCACCAAACAAAACAAAACAAAACACACACACACAAAAAAAACCCTGCACAAAGCTTCAGAACATCATTCTGCGTAATAATCCAAAGTGAAACAATCTAGTGTCTATCATCCAAAGAATATATGCAGTGTCTCTATTTAGAAATAAAAGGGCAGGAAGTCCTGACTGAAGCTACACCATGGATGAACCTAGAAACACTTCATACAAAATGTTTATCCACAATGACAGAGGGCAGGTTGGTTGCTGCCTTGGGCTGGAAACATGGAGGGGGCGGAGTGGAGACAGCTGAGTACAAAATCCCTTTTGAAAAGAATTAAAAATACACTATCAATCTAAATCCATTTGAACAGTCTACCAACTCAAATTTATCACCATCATTTCTGATGAAGACATTCAAAATCCTTTTTCTAGCTTTCTGGGATACGCAATACGTAACGGTTATCATTTGACACGGTCCTGTAAAATATCATACCAGGATTTTGCTTTTTAGTATTCCTTGACCAAGCTTACCTCCCTCTGAAAATATTTTAAACTTGACTGTGGTCATGGATTTAAAGCTCTGAATACAGTCAGTCCTCCACCCATTGGTTCCTCATCCACAGAGTCAATCACGTAAGGATAGAAATTATTGAGAGGGGGAAAACTACATTTATATCTAAGCACAGAGGTATTTTCTTGTCATTATTCCCTAAAGAATGCAGTGTGGGGAGTATTTACATAGTTCTAGGTATTATAACTAAATATAGAGGAAGTTTCAAGTACAGGACAGGTGTGTGTAGGTTCTATGCAAATACTATGTCTTTTTATATAAGGGACCAGAAATTGTACGGTTGATATTCCAAGGACTAGTATATACGACAACTATCTACTGAAAGCACTGAATTATACACTTCAATGGTGATTGGTTATTTGTTTTTTGTTTGTTTGTTTGTTGTTGTTGTTTGGCAGAGTTTCACTAGATGGTCAGAGTTGAAT